GACGTAAACATCTTTTATCAGACTCCACTTCTGGACTCAGGAGTGCCAAGTGCATTCACAGTGCATGTTAATCCATCACACTTCAAAGTCCCTCCTGAGTCTTCTAAACAAACAGAGGAAGATGAGAAGTATTAGCAGTGTCTCATTTCAGGAGGTGCCTCCCTCTATGTGTGCATTTCAATACTGAATACATAAAAGTCGTCTGTCCAAGGCAAAGACTCAGAACTTGATGGCAATTGCTTCTGCCACAATCCCACTTGATGAGTTTGAATATGCACAAGCTAGCGGGCAGTTTAAGTCCATGTGAGACAGGAGGAAGGTTCAGGCTATTGTACAGTATATTTTGTAGCAGTTTAACTGAGTTCAATTCAGTTACCTTCTTGTAAATAGTTGGGTTATATTTTATTGCCAGTGAGTAATTGAATTGTTTATATTTACTTGTCTGCGATGGATTGGCGACCTGTCCAGGGTGTACCCCGCCTTCGCCCGATTGCCGGCTGGGATTGGCTCCAGCCCCCCCGTGACCCCGTTCAGGGGAAAATGAATGGATGAATGAATATTTACTTGTTTAAAAACAGTGGCCGGTCAAGGCAGTTGGGGGGACCATTCATCTGCATCAGTTTCATGTGGCGTTGACATGAAAAGTGACTGCAGGGTCAATATATCTACATCTTACATCTTTTCTCTTATAAATACATAATATATAGGTTTGTTATGAATGTTAACTAGTAAAAACTGAAAATGAATAAATAAAAATTGCTATTAGATGGCTTTTCATCAAATATTTAAATGACAAGTAACAATAAATTATAATGGAATTGTTATAACCCTACCTGTAAAAATGGCTGACAACAAGAAAGTCTAACACAGCCTCTGTCTTCCTGCAGGCACTGCCCTCTCTTCTTCTCTGCCCTCTCCTCCTATTCTGTATTCTTTGCTGTGGTTCTGTTTTGTCTATCAGTCGACTTGTGCTTTCTTTTCTTTTTCTCTTTCTTCCTCTGAGTACATTTGTCTTGTATAGCTAAACCTCTTTAATCAAATGCTATTGTATGTACTGTATCTTGTCAGTTACTTTACTGCAATGAGCGCTTGTAATTCTTAGTTTTACTTTGTTTATTGTCTTGACCCCCCATCTATGCCCTATTGCACTTAATGTTCCTGGTTTTGTGTCTTTCCTTGTTTTTGTTTGTTTGTTTGATTGTGTTTTTGTTTTGTTGCTATTTTCCAGTTTGCTCCTTTTCATAATGACTGATTTGAATAAAATGTTCAACATAGTTTGGGCCAGGACAGAGTCAGTCATTTAGCACTTCTGTCAAGAGAAAAAGATTCTCTCAGTGCTATTGACCCTGACCTTTTTGCTAAGCTTAGTTCAAAGAGGCACAGCTAAAAGTATGTTATCAAAATAAAACTCTGCCTGCACAAATTGATTCTTGAGTTGATTACACAGTTATTTCGTTTTTGTGAGCTTTTTTTTATTTTCACTATAATGTATTGAATTTGCTGTATTTTGTTTAAGTCTTTACACATTTAAGTGTGACACAATGTTTATAAAGAGAGGAAATTTGTCAAGGAGCAGCGAGACAAGAAAACACAACCTGCACTTGTCAGGGAGATGGACCTAATGCAAGCCCCAAGCTCAGATAAAATGGGAGCGTTGTGTCAGGCAGGGCAAAAACCTGTGCCAAATCACATAAGTGGCTCAGAGACTGGATTTCCATATCTACATTATGGAGTCAGACACATGCTACCTAGATCGGGGTTCTATAATGATGTCAGGAAACATATTTCTATAACATGGCTTCTTTTTAGGACCTATAGTGTCAACATTGTTTATATGCATGCTAGATTACTGTACTTAATCTCAGACTAGATCGTTTTTTCCAGTAGGACTTTTCATGTCTGTGTACCTGTTTCTAGAACTGCTACCATGGAAATGTATTTTTATTTATGTATTTATTTTATTTTATTTATTTATTGTTACGTCCGTGACCCGGGCCGCCCCCTGTACCTCGGTAGCAGGCACAGCAGCTCCGCCCCCCGTACAGGTGAGGGTGCGTTCCAGGCGACGAGGCACACCTGCTCTCCATTATCAGAGCAGTATATAGGGTCAGCGTTGGTGCGTCTTCGTCACCAGATTATTATATGTTGTCCTGCTGGTAACGACGGTTCATGTCCATGTCAAGGCCTCAGGGTTATGAACTACTGTTTGATCTGTGCTCCTCTCTGAACGCTGTGAACTGTAATTGCGCATTGTTTTGTTACATCGGTTTTGTGCCCTTCTCTTTGTGAACTGTTATTGCGCATTGTTTTGTTGTATCGGTTTTTGTGCCCTTCTCACGTTTAAAGGGGTTTTTTTGGTTTTTGGACTGCTTTTTGTGAATTGCTCCTCCTCTCAGAGCTCCAAGGCAATCCTGGGACAGCGCCATCATCCTACGTCGCACCACTCAGCTACCAGCGCTGCCTCATCAGGGGACCCACACACCGAACCCGAGATCTCTGGCACCAGTCTCCCCCTCCCTGGACTACTCCCTGGGCCTGCGGTGCACTCAGCTGTTCAGGTCCCCAGAGTGACTACCAGAAACAATCTATACTATACCTGCTGCTTGTTCTTACACTCTCTCTCTGTTCTTATTTAGCGAGCTACGCCTCTCATTCACCCCGGGAACAGTAGTCCAGTCAACTCAGTGTGCCCAGCTGCCCCAAGATCAGCGGACGAGACCAGCTCTGATTTGTTTGTTTTCGTGGAGCATTAAAGACGTTTTTCTTGTCTAGCCTGGATTCTAGTCTGCATTGTTACTGGGTCCAAAACCACTCTAAACACGGCTCGCCGTAACATTTATGCATCTTCCTCCTTCATGTGCAGTACTAGATTACTCCCCCCTCCCTCTGATGATTCAAGCAAAGTACCTCTTGGCTACGAAGCGGCTGACCTTGGCCTTGCTACATTAACCTTCCTCCATTTGGGTACGAAGCCTCAAATGATCCTTCACTGTGCCTGTGTGTTTTGGTTGGAGTGCTCTGAGGCAAAGAGCAGTCAGTTGCATTTTCATAATATACCAGCAACAATGGAGACAACCAACAACAAAATAGGATATACTGTATAAGCTGTCATATTCTTTGCAGTTTGAACATGAAGAATGTCTAAGATTCCATCATTAACTCTGGGGTTTGTGCTTCATTAATCAGCAGATCAGATCGGCAGAAACCACATAAACACTCACTGTGAAGCCAATAAAGCCAAATTGGATTGTGTTTTCCAAAAAAGCATCCAAGTGAAAAAACAGCATTTCTCCCATAATGCAGCAGTAGCATCGATTTTGTTCTGGGGTAAATTCAGTTTTGCTATCAGCCAAAGAATGCCACCAGATCTTAGGCAGACAGTGGACTAATACTGGGCCTGGCTGTTTCTGACAGCAACTTCTATTTAAATTTTTTTATCAGTGTCTGTATCAAGGAAAATCATTGTCTCACCTCATTCAAGCACCCATTCTTTATTAATACCGACTTTTATTAAGCACTCCCATCAATACAGAGGCTGGACACACTTATTACATGTGTTATCTGGTGTTCCTCCTCAGAATGAGACACCAGTCAGGTGGGGAGGAGGAGTGATGTTTAATGGCTTTAGCAAGGTCAGGGTGGGAGAGAGGGGAGAATGGGGAGAAAAAGTGCTGGGCCAGCACAATGAGCTTTTATTTTGTTGGGTCAGGCAATACAGGCAATTAAGCTGTCAGCCAAAAAGGGGACACTATTGATTTGGTCATTGGGATCTAAGGGGCTACACCCCTGTTGCTTTAATTTATTAGCCAGCAGCAATTTAATTTAATAGTGAGAATGTGTAGCAACGTGAGGGCTAGACAGAGCAGTGAGCACATCAAAGGAGTCTATACAATGAACATCTCATTATGGTCATCCAAGGTCTTCTGCTCTATTACCTACCTACATACCTTTGGATTCTCTGCAGTGGGCACAGTCTACAATTTATTGGCATGTGATATGAGCTGTTTCCTTGCAGGTAATTTGATATGGCACTTGTTGAATATAATATATGATTTTGACTGCCACAATGGGGCCATCTGCACAAGATCTCAATTCATATTGACAGATGGGAAAAATGGAGAAGAACTGAACCAAGCAATTGAAGGCTGGAGTAGTGTGTGAAAGTGTAATTGGGTGGGCTGCTCCAAGATCGAGAGAGGGAACTGCAGGGCCATGGATGCCAACAGCTGTTGACCCAGACCTCCAAAAGAAATGACTGTGTATTTTACAGCAGTTTTCTCAATCATTCCCAGGACCTTACATTTTTTTGAACAAGAGTATGCAGGACATACTTAAAATTATTTATATGGTAAAGACCTTCACCTTTTTCCTGTAGAAAAAAAAAATACTAGCTCTTTATCAGAGGATATCAACGCTAAGAGGTCCAGTAAAGCCCCTTTTCCTGGTACTCTACTCACCTTCATTTGTTTTTCCATCAGTCAAATGTTGGGGATAGTACTTGGTGGTATTTTGATACTGCCTCTGTTGAGGTTCCAAGTAAGCTAAGGCAATGCCAAACAGTGACGTGTAGACACGGCAGACTACTGACTTGTCAGAGAAATTTCACTACTCTGCAGCCATCTTGTCATAGATTAACTCAGATATTTACATGTGATGACACCATTCACTCGTTCTTCATTCCTTCATAATAGTAGCTGTCACTTCTCTCATGAGTGTTATAGAGAGTAAATGTGTAGTGATAGAGGTCTTGAGCCTCTATTACTATATAATATAACCATTATATTATGTGAACCACCACGTCGTACATCTTATCACGTAGCTCACAGGTTACTGAACGATAACAGGAGCACAATGGCTGCAGCCTTGCCTAATAAGTAGAGCTAGCTAGCTGTCACATTAGCAGGTCATCACATCTCAAAAAATGTCTGAGCAAATCTGTAAATTGGCATTTTTATTCAAAAACTGCAAAACAATAAAATGGTATAATAACAGTCCTAGGATGAAAATTAGAACAGCTTTGAGTCTTCTCTGCCACCACTGTGGGATGATGACCTCACGGCAGTCTCATGCGGCGTCGCTGTGACAACCAGCTACACTGAGGAGGGACTATCTGCAGTGGAAAACAAAGCATCTGATATGAGAAGGGTAGAGTTGAGCCAGTACCAAACAATGGAAAAGTGTCCTGAACAGATTATAAAAACTCTCTGGTTGAGATTCCTTCTGCATAGCAAAATAAACATCTTTTGTCACAGTATCTTTTATATGGTGAGGTAAAGGTCAGTTTTCTACAGATACTCCAGGCACAGTTCCATAAACTTCCTTTTACGGTGACTATGAAATTCTAGATAAAGTCCACATTAAGAAGGAAGAGTGAAATGGCCTCTGCTGGCCTGAAGTCTCTGAGTTGCTGCATAATGTCATCTGTAAAATGATTACTCTTACTAACACTGTAATCTATCCTCAGTTTGCTTACTTGGCTATGGTACAGTACAACTTTTAAGAGTTGACAGATGGACAGTGGCAGCTTGCAGACAGACAGAGTGTTATGTCACTTAGTCATTAAGAGGCAGTAACTGCTCTCTTGTCCCCTGTCCCTTCATCTCAGAGAGAGGGGCAATTAATCTACATCATTTTATGAGCACGGCCACATATGAATATGCCATTTAACGTCAGTTTATTGCTCTTTTATTATGCTATTAAAATAACATTTTTTCTGACATTTTGGTGTGACAAATTAAACAGGATGGAGCAAAGACAAGTCTTACTGTAAGACAGAGTTCTTCAGCAGGGTTAAGTATCAGGAGTGAGCTGTTTGTCCATGTCTGCCCTGGCTAGAATTTGTTAAACCTCCATGAACTTCATAGAATCCCCATCACTGCAAAGAAGACATTTAAATTGTGCACTTTACTTAAAATAAATTTCTCCTGCTTTCTCTTTCATTAAAAAACAGGTAATGGATGTGACCAATTTGTTCAGACTTGGCTCTCAGTTGGTCACTTAGTGGGCTCAGTATTTTCCACAGAGAGGTGCCTGTTGGCTTTGTCCTGACAGAGTGGGAGGAGAGGAGCCACCAAAAGGCCACAGTTCCAATTACACGCAGCCCCTGCTCCTTAAATGTCAAGCTACTTTGCATTACCCAAAGTGTAATGGCATTCACTGGGTATTAGCCCCACTCCAGCCACATCTGTCACAGAGTTTCATGTGGCTCCTCGAGGAAAAACCAAACAATTGTGAGGTCTTTTCAATCTATCTATAACATTCCTACTCTGAATTCTCCACTTCATATTTCATTGAGGTTTCAGCGCCAATAAAAGGAGTCAAATGAATTCACAATTAAGTGGTTTTGTTGCTTTTATGAGGATGAATGGTTAGAGAATGTCCTCATGGCAGCCTTTGTAATTGTTTCAGAGTGAAGATTCATGATCTTCCTTTCACTGCTGTTGGTTCACTGGCTGCATTGCCACCCAGGGCCCCTCAACTTTTCCCATTAGAGACTCCACAGGCTTCACAATTTAGCCGCTTTTTTGATCATTAAGAGGGGAGATGCTGAGCTTCCCCTCTCTAATTAAACCTTGATTAGAAAATTGCTCTACCGCAGACACGGCAGTGAAGAAAGCGTGAGGCAGGGGACAGAGGGTGGCTGCAGTTGCCTTGGAGTGTGCAGGTGGTGTTTCCATATTATGTATTGGCCATAAAAATACACCAACACTGCAACACTAGACTCCTCTACTATCAGCCTGCTCATTCAGGAAGAAAAAAAAACAAAAACAAAAGAGCAAAGATCCACATTTTCTTAATTAATAGCACTCCATAATAAACCAACAATACAATAAGGCATTTCATAAACCACTGCAGTTGCTGAAACAATTCACAAACTTCCAAAGCTGGAGGCTCAACAATGTTTTTAGATATTGTGAAAAAATAGGGCATGGTTGCAATACTGTTTTGTAGCTCACTTAGAAATTCCAGATCCACATTCTCACCTGCAAACACATACAGAATATTTCACAGTTATGTGTGTGTGTGTGGGAGTGTGTGTGTGTGTGTGTGTGTGAGAGAGAGAGAGAGAGAGAGAGAGCGAGAGAGAGACCACTAAGGGTCAGGTAAATTGATTCACTGTACATAAAACCTTCACAAAACTAAAGATTTTGAGCATTATTAGAAAAAAAAAATTCATTAAGAGAGTCTCTTGATTGATCAACTCTACGGTTGAGAGAATCACTGCTTTCATTCACAGGGATTCAAGTTACACTGAAGGACTGGAATGGACCTTTACACATGAATATATTTATGCATCTCTGGATGTCTGAACTTTCTTCTGAGTCCACTAATGTTTGACCTTCAAGCATGATGCAAATCTGGATTGGATCAGTGCTCACATTTAAGAGCTGTGAAGGCTCAGACTACACGCTGGGCACTAAAAGTCTGCTGTGTAAAGCTCTGCACATTGAGCAGTTGCCCATGATTGGTACATGTATGCTCTACCTCAATCATTAGTATCACAAGCACAGTGTGTAAAGAGGCACTGTTATTGGTTTGAGCTGGCCCCACACTACAGGATAATTAACCCGATCTTAGGTCCCGATTTGCCCTTCCTGACAATTGTGGGGGTGTTCCCTGACATGAGGCTGCTCAGAAGCAGTTTTTGGGCCAAATGATCCTGTAGTGAGTGGTGTTGAACAACCTAATCATTATGCCTCCGGCAGGATCGGAGGACCTCCAGTCTTGAATGATAAGTATCAAGCATGTTTGAAATTTACGCTGTTGCCCCCTGTAGTGCGGGGGAAACAGCCACTGAATCCTGACCAGACACCTGCAACACCCAATGACAGCAATCTGGCCAGAAAGCGTCACAATCGCTTATAGCATTAGCTTGCACAAGCTGCCTCATTTCATTATTTCCAACTCACCTCCAACTTGCACTGCTAAATGTGTAAACCGTGTTGATTTCATCTTCTCAGCCAAGACTTCATCCACATTTCTTTCCTCTTTTTTTCTCTGTGCAAAACACAGCACACACACAAGAGCTATTGCTTGAAAATGAATGGTCTGGCATGTTGACATTTGGCACGTGTTTTACGTCGGATGCCCTTCCTGACGTAACCTGGATTTGAACCCGGCCACAGCGGCGAGAGTGCTGCGCCTTAACTACGGGCTAGTGGTAGGAAGCCTACCAGGGACGGTAGGCTAGTATCTATCTTCCTATATATAGCCTCATTATAATCAATTAGAAAATGGCACATACTCACACATGCAAAAGTGATCATTAGCCAACCAAAACACTATGGGCACTGTGGCAGATGCAACATAGACATAAATGAATAATTAGCCATAGCCATGATATATTACACAGCAGCAATATAAACAATAAAACAAGTAAAGTCCAACAACTATTAACTCTATATGCTAATCCAAAACAGGGAGTCCTACAGTGTATGCATTTTTGAACAATGTTTAATGTAAATGCGCACAAAACTGTGTTGCTACATTGTATCTTGCAATCAATCTTCTTCCTCAGTATAGTCTCCCTAGAATCAGAAAACAACTAACAATAAATAGAAAGGCCGTGACATGGACATGGACAGACATTTCAGCAGTCAACAGCAGAGTGAAGACTGGGGTATTACGCACATGTAGCTGTAGCAAAATAAATTTCATCTCAAGGGCATCAAAAAATTACACTTCACCGAGCCTGTACATAACAATAATAACATAATAAATACATAACATAATGTTTTTAACAATAACATTACGTAATGTAAACATTCCCAAACTGTGCTGCTATATCATTGTAACTTGCAACTCATCAGCAGCTAGAAAACAATGACTGTACTCACATATTTGGACAACATTCTGCTGGCCTTGCACTAGTCCTCCATGATATGACTTAGTCACTTTTCTTGGCTTTATAATTTTCAAATGTGGAAAAAACAGTGTATGGCTCTGTGGTAATGAAAGAGGGACCACTATACTGCTAGCCAGGGTGTCCTCTGTTTTTAGCTAATGTTAGCTCATCCTTGCCCACAGCTGCTGACAATGCAGAACAACTAAAAAAAAGAATTCTGTTTCTTCAGTTTTGAAATTTCATACTCCAAATCTCACAACTACTTTCTCTCTGAGCACCACTCTTGCCTTAGTATGTTTGGGGCATTTTAAATGAATGCACTATGTGCTTTTCCAAAGTTAGCTGAAGTTATAGTGAATGCTGGGAGGGCATGTTTGATTTAGGTAACTTTGCATGCTCTGTGGGTGGTGCAAGCGCAGCTACTATATAACCTATGATGAGGCAAAATAAAGATAACCTTAATAGTGGCACATAATTACTCCATCTGTTACGGCACACTGTGTGTAGTGTGTGAGTGGACTCAGAAAGACTGCAGGACTCAGACTCAGGCTTGACAAGGTAAGTGTACTTAATGAGTTTACAGAGGAGAGGTGAAGAGCTGGTCTCATTCGCCGGTTGTAGGGCAGCTGGTAGCGCTGGGTGGACTGGACTGGACTGCTGGTGATGCATCCTGGGGTTGAAGGTGGGATGCAGCTAGCTAAATGAGAGCAGAGGGAGAGAGAGCTGAACAGCTATGCTGAGGTAGAGCTAGTTTTGGTAGAACACTGTGGACCTGATTAGCCGACTGCACCGGCTCTCGGCAGGTGAGCGCCGCAGGCAAAAGAAGCAGTCCAGGGCAGTAGGAGAGAGCACAGGAGACAGCCGGTCAGATGAGCAGGCGGTAGGATGATGTGATGAAAACGGACAGTGGAGATCCAGAACCTTGGTATGAGCAGGTCTCCTCGCACTGAGGAAAACAGGTGACAGTCGCAGCACCACTTGGTGCTGAGAGGAAAATAAAGCAACACAGGACTACAAGCGATCATCTGGTGATGAGGACACACCAACACTCTCCTTAAGTACTGCTCTAATAATTGAGAGCAGGTGTGCCTCACTGCCTGGAATGCACCCCCACCTGTGCAGGGGCGGTGCTACTGGGATTACTCATACCAGCTGATGAGGTGCTGGGGGTGGCCAGGGCCACGGACGTAACACCATCAACTGACTTAGCATTGCTGTACATTGTTGATTTACATTATTTGAACATTCATGTTATCCTGAGAGTCCGCCCGGGCCCCAAGATGGTGTGGGCCAAGGTGCAGCCCACACCGGTTGCACCACCTGACACCCCGCCAGTGCCCAGAATGTTCTTCGGGGTGAAGTACTGGGTATACCACTCATTAGGTCCCAGTAGAGGAGATACAGCATTAGTGACCAGTCTTTGACTGTATTTTATGTACTGTATGATTATTCTGATACAGGCCACTCTTTATTCTCAACCTCCAATAAGATGCTGAATAAAGACGACACCTGAGTTCTGAGTGCTTCTGACTCTGCTGTGAAGAAAGGCAGCTTTTCTCATAGAAACTGCTGCAACACGCTATTTTCAGTTTTAATAACTTCTAAACACAAAGTGCATCAGGGTGGAGGCATGCATAAAACAAACAAACAAAAACTAAATCATGGTGTCATTCACTATTCCGCATGTCCTCTACTATTCTTCACAGTTCACTAAGGAATTCCCAGAGGAGTCATCCACATCACCACCAGCAGCTGACACCTTCAGACATTCTCTTCATCATCCACAGACAGCCTGATCTGATGCCTGACTTTGTCTTTAATCAAACATCTGTTCCTACTCTCAGCTGGTTTGCTCTCATGCATCGTGATGAGCTCCATCTTTTACACATACAGCTCTACAATTACATTGACACAACAACCCAGTGTCCAAGAAAGATGTTCTTCTAAGTTCCAAATGATAATGCATTATACAGTTAACATAGTCTGATAAAAGTTTCCTCTTTGCTACCAACATGATGAGAAAATGTTTTAATGAATGCCAGTTTCCAAAATGTTCATACAGAGTATAACTGCGAAATGTTCACTGGCACCACGCTGCATTAGTTTTTCCTACAGTATGAGCTCCTGTGATAACCAAAGTGTAGTCTTGGTTAAACAACCCCTAAAATTCTAAAGTGACATGAAGCTTGACAAAAATAAAAAAAAAATTATTATTTTTTTTGCTAAGTCCAAACCACATGCAGGAACTGAGATGCCAACACTATACTCACATGTCAAGGTTCGGTGCTTTGTATGCCCACTGTCAACCCTGGCCACCAAGTATAATTGCTGTGCAGTACATGAAGCATCACTACTGAATATAAGCATGCAATTGCTGTACTTTTCCATAAAGAAATAGCAGTATATAATATCCATCTACCTTTGAAAGATACACCCATCAGGTTTGATAATTTGTGCATAATCACCAAAAAAAGCCTTTAAGTCGCTACCATTAAATGTATGTTATCATTTGCTTTTATATAGGCTATAACTAACTGATAGGCAGTAGACCATGCAGCTGAGCCATTACCATAGTTTTGCATTCTCTAATGTCATTTTCTACAAGGTTAGGCTTCATGTAATCATTGCCCCAGGACCGTAGTAAGTTATGAGAGATAGAGACTGCACTGAGTGGTGAAGCAGTGGGCCTCTTGTTCGACTTAATGAGACTGATCTGAACAGATGGGTGAGAGACCCCCAGGTTGCTCTGATAACAAGTCTCCCAGCTTGCTTTAGCTGGCCACTCATCTGTTTAGACTCTCTCCAGCTTGGCCTCTAAAATGAAACTTTATGTACATTTGGTGTCCACGTGGTATAGGGTGATACGACTGTCAAGACTCCTATGTTCTGCAGTTACAGTCAGTCTTTTTGTTTTCTTTGCTTACAATAATGTGTGACACTACTAATGGTACTATATTATTTTTTTAAATTCTGATTGAGAAGCAGTGGTGTAGTGGTCGCTGCTTATGGAGTTTTCAGCCTGTGCTTATCAATTCATCCACTGTGCAACCTAAGTGATGAAAAGCAAAGCCCACCCTGCAGCACCCCCACCCCTGCTAGCACTTGTTAAACACTCAATAATTGCTATGACAGTGAAAGCACACTTAATGCTAACACAGGCTCTACATCCTGGCAAAATCTGTGTAAATTGCAGTGTTTTAAAACAATACAATATTGCTTTTTGGATGAAGGCCAAATTTTTGACACAAATTTGTGTCTAGCGGAACAGAAGAGCTCTGCTGAACACATTTACAATGTCCAAACACAATTTGATGGCCCAAAAATAAAGGCCTCTTTCCTGACATGTGAGAAAGTAGCTTTTGTTTGAAATCGTATTAATATATTCTAAGCTGCCACATGAATGCAGTATACCCGCCTTTAGGAAAGACATGACAGCTACAATTCTTTGTTGTCCTGCTACCACACAGAACAACATCTTTTCTTTTAACTTCCAGAAGACACTGAAGAGGTAATGTTTCGACTATTGAATCAAAATCGACTATTGAATCCTACCTGCACTTTGTCATGCTCTACAGTAGATATTAGTCTATCTTGCTTTGCTTTGCTGCCTTTCACACTTTGATCCAAAGTCCTTCTCACTTTTCCAGCATATTCCCAAGCATCTATTGTACACTTTGAGTTTCTGATTCCAGTAAAATGCTTTAATTTGTTGATACTGTGTATTTCAGTTTCAGTAACATAAATCTTTGATTCAAAAGTACTAGTAAACAGTACTTGCTGAACCTCTTCTTTCATTCATGTTAGCCTTCTGTTATCATCTGTTCTCTGTAAAACAGGTTTGTCAATGTGATTCTGTAAACAGACCTGCCATGACTTGAATGAAGATGCAATCAATGCAAACTTCATACAAGGCCTTTGGAGTAGCAAGCATCTCTTTCAGTGATGTATTTTCAGCCCCTTTAAAGTTAATATTTTCTCTCCTCCTGAGAAATGGATCTGAACCTCTTCCCTAC